ATCAACAGCTGCTAACATAGACAAGACATCAGGTAGCTCCTAATTAGGTGTCTCAACACCTGTAGTTTTACTAAAGACTTACTCATCTAACCTGAGTTTGATGTAATTTCTAGATCCACCTGGCAATTTGCAGGGACTTCAAGAACAAAAGAACATAATAAACTGTACCATGGGTATACAATCAACAAAATCTGGACTCTACAGGTCTAATGCTTTAGGTTCTTCAACAGATAAAATTTAAATGAAAGAAAGGGATGGAGGAGAAACTTGTATATTCAGAGACTTAAAAAACTAGTCAAATTTTTAATAATGGGCAAGACTAAACTGTGGCATTCAGGAATGCAGGACTGGGTGGTAAAACTATACAGAAACAGAAGAAAGTGATTACTACAACCAGGATACTGGTTATTTTATGGAGGGAGGAAAGAGGCTGACATAGGGATGGGGCATATGGAAACACTTCTGGGAAAGTTAAGCAAAGTTCTCTTTCTTGAGTAATGGTTACAAGGTTGTTTGCCTTACTGTAATTCACTAAGCTATAAATTTGTTTGGTGGTTTTATGTTTGTGTTGTACTTTACAGTAAAAACAAAACAAAACAAAAAAACCCCGGGGCGCCTGGGTGGCTCAGTCAGTTAAGCATCTGCCTTTGGCTCAGGTCACGATCCCAGGGTCCTGGGATCAAGCCCCGTATCGGGCTCCCTGCTCAGTGGGGAGCCTGCTTCTCCCTCTTCTCTCTCTCTCAAATAAATAAATTAAAAAAACTTTATACAAAAAAAAACCCGACTTCACCTCATAAATGCACAGTTATGTTGAGGCAATAAAGGACACCAAATAGATGGAATACAACAGGATGTGAAAAGGACCCAAAGAATAAGAGAGAGAGAGAAATTCAGAAGTCAAAGAGTGGAGTTATCCCGGGAATGCTTCATGAAGAGTTGAAACTTCACCTGTCTTAAAACCTGACAGATCACTGTCACGTGAAAAGGGAAGAGACTGCACCATCTCGAAAAAGAGGGATGCACAATGCATAAATGATAAGACTGATATATGGCTAACAGGGGAATTAATTCAAAAGAGGACTTCTAACAACTGTGAAACCAAACCCAACCCAACCCTTTTTTGGGGGGGCTGAAAAAGATATACATACATATAAGCTTGCACAAGCAAAAAGTATTTCTGAAAGGGCACACAAAAACTGTTAACAGCACATGTTCTAGGGCAGTGGGTTTACACACTTAAATTGGAGGGAGGTTTATCATATCCCCCTTTCTACCATTTTCATTTACTATGTGCTTATATTAGTTTTCAAAAATAAAACATTTAAAGCTTGTCTCTGTGGAGAGGATGTATACAGAGAAAAATGGTAAGGGTTCATTCAACAGACTTGTGAGCAACAAGATTGATCCATCTTATTGACAGCTGCTAAATTATCTACTTTATGTGAAGTACTGCTGACACAACTGTGAGTAAAACCAAAAAAGAAACAAAACCCTGTCCTTAAATGGTTTACCTTCCAGTCTGAATGTGTGTGTCAGGGGACATTTTTACATTTGACTTCATCTACATTACTACATTTGAGAGAAATTTAGGGCTTTCACAATAAAAATATAAACAAAACCCTTTAGCTAACCAAGTTCCCCAAAATGTTGGTTTTCTGTCACAAAAGGCAATCATGTATGACAACTTTATAAGCAATCTGAGTATAAATAAGCACAGTGTAAACTGGATAAAATCTACTTTAAAAAAAAGTCTTAAATAAATTTCTACTGCAAAGACTTCTTAAAAATTACAATGGCAGAATGCTGTATTATCAAAGAACAGAGACTATGGGCATTTCTGTAGATGGACACAAGAATAGCTTTTCTCATTTAAACCTTTACAGGGGGAGGAAAGGAATGCAAAAAGAACATCTGCAAATTTTCAAATGAAATCTAGTCACTAGTCAGGTCAACTGAGAAAGATTATAAAGATTGTAAGCAAAAAGTGGTAAACAAATTTTAGCACAAGCAAAAAATACAAGTTTGCTTATATGTAGCAGCTGACTAACTCAAATGTATAAAATGAAACACAGATAGGATCTAGATGATATATTCTTCGAAGTCATTATAGTTGTTCCTTAAAATCATCAGTCCCGAATACTGTCCTTAACTGTGTACTCTTGGAACCTTAGCAGAAATACAGTACATTAAATAAGAACTACAATACATTTAAATCTGGCAGACTATATACAGTTCTGAATGCTGCAGCTCAAAATAAGAGGCAACGGAACTAAGGAAAGTTAAGAGAAGATTAAAATGACCACGTGATTTGGAGAGGTGCTATGAGAATAGACCGTGACCACTAAAAACACTGAGAAAACAGTATGCTCTTTAAGATCTGATCTTAAGAGAATTCATTAGACTTGGAATTAATATAAGAAACAAAGGCATCATGAACTTGACTAACCAAATTAATGAACAGAGTTTCTAAGAGAAACCGGGTCAATATTTATTCTAAGATTGACACTGTAGAGGATGTTATCCCACAGTATAGAACTTGGAGGCACTGTTGGTGCCAGGGCTTTTATACTTCACTAGATTTATCTTGAGCTTGATGCTGCAAGGCCATTCTTTAATTACTAACCCCAATTACATAAACCTCACTGCATCCAGTGAGCAAAGGATAGACTTATCTAATTAGGTTACATATAAAAGTCATTTACTGCTGATAGTGATCCAACCCTCCAAGAGATACTGACATAAAATTCAATGATAAAAGACAGTTTCTGGGTCACTAACACATGTTGATGATGATTTTATTCTTAAACAATAGCACTTTAGATTTAGGGGATATTTTACTTTTAAATTAGTCAATGTGGGAATACACAATGAATCCACATGAACATTAAACATCTTAATATAATTAATGCATGGTGTTTATTAAAAAACTAGATATAGTTTGTCCCTAGCATCTTAAATTTAAGCTTGTTAGGGTTTAATTTAGTGAATGGTGTTCAGTTTACTTTGCGGTGAAATTCATGCTTTTTGTAGTTTACTATTACATTCCATTATAACCCTACAAGAAAAATTTTCCCAATGATGTGGGGGAGTATGAATTTAAAAGTGACTCATTCAATTTGAGACCACCCCCTTCACCCTAAAAGAATAGGGGAAAAAAAAGATGAAAGAGTGAGGCTGTGCAATTGATGCAAGTGCACCAGTACAAATATTAAAACCACTTTTGATATAATAGCAAAGGTAAAAAAGACAACAATTAGATATGAAGGGTGCAATGTTACTTTTTCAAATAGAAATTAACATCAGATTTCAATTGCTAATAACAATTTAATGTAAAATGCTGAAGTTTACCTTTGTACATATATAAGACACTAAGTGGTGTTTAAAATACTTTGGCTTTTTATTGAATGATGGCATTTAAGTAAATTAGTTAAAGAATGCAAATGACCTGGGCTTCACCAGTAAATTTAAAGTTAAAGCTGTGAATTTTGGCTGTAAGCAAGGTATCTGTTTTAAAGCACACCAACCAGGCCATAGAGACAAATTATGAAAGAGTGAGGGTTCAAAAAAGAGAAGTATAGTCTTGTGGTGAGATCATTTACTGGAAGTAGAAAAGTAGGCCTGTTTCAGCAAATGGGACATCTGTAGCCACATCAAGAATTTCCAGAACTATTTTGACTTGTGACTTCTACCGGCATTTTCCAGGGCTACTTAAGGAAAGTCAAATTTATATTAGTATTCATTAGTTTACCACTCCCTTTGGAGCCAATTTAAATAAAAATGTCATTCTCTCAATCTAAATGTTATTGCCAAAAAGGTTTCCTCTCTCTTCCATAACACTATCACTGACCTAAGTTCTGTGCGCAACAAATAACTAGAAAAACGGAAACAGAACAAGAATCACGTAGATTTAAAAGAGAAAGAGAAGAAAAAGAGCCTGCAGGAGACCAAAACGCCTTATGATCCGAAGAGATTAAAACAGGAATCAATCTAAGCTATGAAGCTGTTCCTTCCAATCAGAAGAAAGTATTTTAAGGACCTTTCAAAGATTGTTTTCTTAGCAAAAAAGTCTTAATGACAATCTACAAAAAGCATAAAGTCTTCCACGGTCCATTTTTTTCTACACACACCTTTCAGAATAGCATTCTAAAAAGAGCTGTGATAAAAAGAGCAAAAAATATAGTGACAATTAAGACAGTTAAATATTTCTAAACAATGGGCAATTCTGTTAATGGATGCAACACAGTATGCATATTACTCTGAAAAGAACAGACCCCAAACTCACACCTTTCACAAGGTAAAATAAAAATTTCAACTCAACAGTACTAATTCAATTCTTCAAGATTTACAAGTTATGTTCTTTAGTCCTGGAGGATAAGTTTTACTTCAAAACTGATTATACATATACACACCTCTGACAATATATGTGTGAATTCAGGCAAATTTGATGTCTAAGTCACCAAAAATTTAAGTAGACTACTAATGCTGTGATAAAGAGGAACGCTGATACCTTAAGAAATTGTGTTAGTAAATGAAATATTTCTGCTAACCATTTAACTTTCAAAGTGACATTTAAAAAGAACGTCACAATTAAATTAAGCCCAATTCACAGTATTTCAAACAGAAGGAGTCCAACACATTTAAGATGTACAACAGAATGACTAGGCCAAATTACACTGCACATTACAATCTGAAATTATTCAAAAGTTAAGTATAAAATTTAAACGAATACCGATGTAATAACTGAGTAGATAAACGTTTCTTATTACTTTTTAGCTCAAAAACCTGGCAAAGCCTTAACACAGTGCCCGGCAGCTTGTCATCACAAATTAAAAAACAAACCAGAAACATTCTGCATTTCAAGCGAAACGTTTATCACGCGGTTTACCTTCACTATTAATTTACAACACTAAATCCAAAAGTAAAATCCACGACCAACTTTTTTCTGCATATCCATTTACCTCAAAATCTGGTTATGGTAAAAACAATAAAATAGTACTTACATTTCTATTGAATTTGGTGAAAGAATGATGCATATAAAACCTGTGCATATAAACAATCGCAGTGTTTATTGTAAGCTGAGAGCTGGAACGTAACATTTAGGAAATATCCGAGAAAAACAACATCTAATTTCCAAAACAATTCTGATGGAAAATTCCCGATCTACGGTGTTTTTCCAATGCTTACCGTTCACTCAAAACCAACCCCA